AAGATATATTCGGTGTAATTTGTTTTCATTCCTAATATTTGGACCATATCCTTATTTGGTGAGTTATTTTCTAGATTTTAGTACTGTTAACAATATTGTTAGTAATTATATAGTAATATAGTCATCTTGATCAAAATGAGAATTGTTTTGATAATGATGATGATGAGCACAACATAAAAATATATACTGAAAATGCCAATAACTATGTTGTTCACGGATGGCAGAAAAATCCTTCTACTGAACCCTCCACGAGGGTGCCGTCTGGTAATGGGTCACACAGTTTTTTCGTCCTGTACGTTGTCAGGACGGTGCCCAGCTAAGATCAGGAGGAATTGAGTGATTGTCCTTAGCTCTTTAATAGCTGCACACTACTCAATGCTTTCTGATCATGGTTTGAAGGTCCCCTTAACTCGGGAGTGTTACGCGATCCGTGCTCACCGAGTAGGTTTGCAGTCAAGGGGTCTGTCCGACTGTATTTTTGCGGAGCCTCTCCAATATATGACCGCCTTGGGGAGTAACTGTGGTCTAGCCATGGTATGGGACGCTGCTGTGGTGGTCGCTTCTTTCGTCCAAATATCCTCGGGTCCGCCGCGCCTGTCTTACCGGGTAAGGTGGACGATTATGAATATGTTATGATTTCTCCCGACAATGTCTCGGAACTCGTGGCTGGAGAGTATAAACCCACCAAACTTACGGAGGACGAATTGTTGAAATCGGACGACGAGATCGTTGCCGATTCCAATACCGGTTGTACCAGTCACAGTACACCGGCGTCTAATCCAATCCAACCAACAACCAAAAAAATCGACGGCACTCCGTCTACCAGTCAAAGTAGACCGAGTGCCAACCGCACGCCAACGCTTAAAACTGCCAGTCTAAGCAGTAAGGGCAATACAAAATCTCGGAAAAAAACGGCCAACATGGCACGCAAAAATCGTTACCAGCGAGCGCTTTTTATGCTAAAGAAAATTGAGGGCAATAAAAAAGAAGGCAAGGTCCATGAACGAGACGAAGCCGACGCTGTTAAATACCGCGCCATTGTGGAGGAGTATCTTCATGATGAAGGTCTGCGCCAGTCTGTTATCACCGGCAAGAACGTCGGAGATGGCGGCAAGCGTAACAGATCTCAGGAAGATCCCGGCAAGGAGGCGAAGCGGCACAAAGATGGAACGGGGGATGGAAAGCTAATGTCAAGACCGGCACAAGCTTCTCGTCCCTTCAGTGAAGTGGCGAGAGACCATCTCAGTGTGGCCTTGATCGACGAACACAACTCTAACGGCAAGCTGCTGATGGAGAGGTGGGCGCTGATTGAGACCAAACTGTCCGAATTGGTTATGGCTGAGCTCATGACTAATCCGGGGTCCGTTCCTTCTTTTGACTGCGCAGATATCGTCCGTGGTCACCGAGTGATCAGATGCGACGACGAGTATTCGCGGAGTTTTCTCAGCAAGGCGATCACTAAGATTAGTGAGAACTGGGACGGTTTAAAGCTCAAACTTGTCCCTGCGGCGGAAATTCCATCGAGGCCTCGAGCGCGCGTATGGTTACCCAAAAACCTTGGTCCTCCTGACCTTATTCTGCAGCAGCTAAAGCTACAAAATCCAGAAATCCTGATGGAAGACTGGTCGGTTCTCAAGACCGAAGAACCGCAAAAACACAGCCAATCGTACTTACTTCTTATCAACGAAGAATGCTTGCCAGTCATTGAGGCTAATGACTGCAAGCTGCGTTACGGCATCCGGAAGGCAAAAATTAAAATCTTTAAAAACGCGCCACCGGATAATATTCTGGATGAGGTTGAGGGCACTAGTAAGCTGCTAGATGACCTCATCATCGATAGCAAACCTTGTTGATGTATTAATGGCCAAGGTCGTGCAGATAAACCTGAAACACTCTAAATGTGCCACGGATAATCTGGCTGTCTTACTCAGGGAGGAGGACATCGACCTTGCCATCATCCAAGAGCCCTGGGTTCATAGCTCATGTGTCAAAGGGCTCAACATCAATGGGTATAATCTTTTTTATGACAAAGGACAGGGTAAGCCTAGATCGTGCATTTTAGCAAAAACGCACCTTAATGCTTTTCTCTGCTCTCACTTTAGTTCTTTAGATATAACCACCATCCGGATAGAGCGGAAGCTAAAACCTGCGATTTTGGTAACATCCGCCTACATGCCACACGACGATGAGGCACCTCCAGAAGGGGTACTACTAGTCCAAAATTTCGCGCAGACCGAGAAGCTAGCCTTGCTGATGGGTTGTGATGCCAATGCCCGGCACTCCTTGTGGGGAAGCTCGGAAATTAACGATAGAGGTGAGTCTCTTTTTGATTTTATATTAAAATGTAATCTAGAAGTATGTAATAAGGGTAACACTCCCACCTTCATTTTTCCGAGTACGGATGATCGTGTAGGCTGGGAAGAGGTTTTAGATATTACCCTTTGTTCGACTTCGTGCTCTTTAACGATCAATGATTGGAGAGTTTCAACCAGGAACTCCTTCTCTGATCATAGATATATCATGTTTGTGATGAATATTCCCATGGTAGCTAAGCAATCTCACCGTAATCCCAGGAAGACAAACTGGGATACTTTCAGGTCATTGCTCAATAGAAAAATCAACATAGCCCCCGCTCCAATTAACTCGATTAGGGAATTGGAGTGCAGGGTCAACTCTTTGACAAATAATATTATTTCTTCCTTTGAAGCATCATGTCCTCGCTCGTATGCGAAGAAGTGTAGGCCACCATGGTGGAACGAGAAGCTCTCTTTGCTCCGCAGGAATGCGAGAAGAGCCTTCAACGAAAGCTATCGGACCAAGGTTTGGACTCCATATAAAGATGCTCTTAGGGTTTACAAAAAAGCACTTCGGGAATCCAAGAAATTGTCATGGAATTCTCATTGCCAGCAAATTGAAAGCATTAAAGAATCCGCTAGACTAGCCAAATTGCTAGCAAATGGCCAATCTTGTCCCTCGCTCATTAACAAAGTAGACGGAAATCCAGTTAAATCCCTAACGGAATCCCTCTCACTATTAGTGGATACCCATTTTCCTGGTTCCTCGGGTGATCCCCCAAAGGTATTGCCGTATCGTTCAGCCAATTCTGGCGAGACTATACAGTCAGTGGTATCATCTAGAAGGATCAAATGGGCCATCGATTCATTCTCTCCATATAAAAGTCCGGGTCCTGACGGGATCTTACCAATTATGTTACAATCTCTGGGAGATGTAGCTGTAAATTGGCTGTACGCGATTTTCTGTAGCTGCTTTTCACTTAATCATGTCCCCAGCGGCTGGAGACAAGTTAGAGTAGTTTTTATTCCAAAAGCAGGTAGAACAGGCCATAGTACGGCTAAAGATTACAGACCCATCAGCCTTACTTCATTCTTACTTAAAACTATGGAAAGACTGATCGATGCTCACATCAGATCTTTACACAGTTTCGCTAAAATATCAAGGGCTCAACATGCATATCTCAAAGGTAAGTCCACAGAAACGGCACTACATGAGGTCGTCACTGTGGTGGAGAAATCTCTTGGATGTAAACAATTTACCTTAGCCCCCTTCCTGGATATAGAAGGAGCTTTTAATAACGTCAGTGTGGTAGCCATTCAGGATGCTCTCAGCGAAATGAACATCCCGGCCTGTATCTCCCGATGGATCGCTGCTATGCTTGGGTTTCAATGCAGAGATGGGCAATCTTAGCATTAGGAAGTGCGTCAGTAGGGGTACACCACAAGGGGGAGTGTTATCTCCCTTACTATGGATTTTAACAATGAACTCACTGCTTTTAAGGCTTAACCAGGGTGGAGTCAAAGCAGTAGCGTATGCGGATGATGTTGTCCTTCTGGTAACAGGCATGTTCCCTTCGGTGCTGAGTAGTATCATGGAGGGCGCTTTTCTGAACCTTAGTAAATGGGCCTCAAAGTGTGACGTAGGTGTTAATCCTTCTAAGACAGAACTGTTACTGTTTACCAAAAAATATAAAATTCCTAACTTTCCGCTGCCAAGATTAAATGGCCAAAGATTAACTCTTTCGCACAAAGTTAAGTATCTAGGAGTAATTCTTGACACAAAACTTAACTGGAAAGCCAACATCGACGAAAGAATTCGTAAAGCTTGTGTGGCTTTCTATGCGTGCAAAAGGATGTACGGCAAAAGCTGGGGATTGCAGCCCAAAGTGATTCTCTGGCTTTACACAGCCGTCGTTCGGCCAATATTAACATATGGATGTCTGGTGTGGTGGCCTTCATTGAACAAACAGTGCATTGTTCAAAGACTAACCAGAATGCAAAGATCTGCCTGTGTGGGAGCCACTGGGGCTCTAAGATCTTGCCCCACCAGTGCGCTCAATGTAATACTTAACTTGCTACCTATTGATATTTACATCAAGCAAGCTGCTACTCTCAGCGCGCAGAGGCTTAACGATCTAAACTGTTGGCGCTCGACTGCTTTAGGACATGGTAATATCGCATCACTCTATCCGATAGATGATGTCAGGGTTTCAGACTACCTATGTCCTCGGTTACTATTCGATAATAACTTCGCCACCATAATTCCTTCAAGAGGAGATTGGGAGGCGGGTTTGCCTACAACTCTAGGAAAGATAGCGATCTACACCGACGGGTCTAAAATGGATGAGGGCGTTGGAGCCGGAATCTTTTCTACGGACCTAATGATTAGTAAATCATACCACCTCTCAGATTCCACCTCAATATTTCAGGCTGAAGTTTTTGCCATCCTTAGGGCATGTGTTCTTGCTTTAAATATGCGCCTTCACGGAAAAGAGGTCTGTATTTTAACTGACAGTCAGGCAGCTATTAAAGCTTTATCAGCAGTCTGTCTGTCATCAAGATTAGTAGAAGAATGTAAGGAAATTATTTCTGAACTAAGTGAGAGGTCCAAGGTTACTCTAGTGTGGGTTCCCGGGCATTCTAATATTGTGGGAAATGAGCGCGCCGACGAGCTTGCTAGGCTAGGCGCCTCTTCCACGGGTACCCCTATTTCGATCCCTGCCCCTGTCAGCTACGGGCGTAGGCTGATTTGTGACCATTTTTTGCGAAAGGCAAATAGTGAGTGGACCCTTACTCTGTCAGCAGCCAGGTCAAGGACTACTTGGCCCATTTATTCCAAATATAGAACCTCTGACTTAATCTGTAGAAATAAATCTGAGGTTTCTAAGCTAGTATCTATCTTTACGGGTCACTGGTCCATAGGACGGCATGGAGCCAGACTTGGCCTTTCCTGTGGTACCTCATGTAGTGCGTGTCTACCAACACTTGAAGAAATGACACCAGAACACCTGATGTGTTTTTGTCCAGGTCTGGCCAGAACTAGGTTTAAGTTTCTAGGGGCCCCTTTCTTCAACTCACTTAGCGATATCTCCAGCATCAGCATTGGCCAGATTCTTGCCTTTGTTAATGCCTCGGGTTGGTTCTAGTTTAACTCTCTATCTACTACCCACTTTTACGAGGTTTTTGTGGACTCAAAACGGCTTTCATCCTTAGCTATTTGAGGAGGATTCGTCCTCCCTCCACCACAACTAACTAACTATGTTGTTCACAGTACTACTACTAGATCATTACATTACCTTGAAATAAGCCTTCTAGATTGTGTGTCTTCTATATCTCTCACTGTATTAAATTTGCATAATATTATAAGGTATAATTGTTGCATTGTTCTTTAACCATGAAACAAGTCTAAAGAAGTATAAAGAATGCTTTTAAAAATGTTTGTTTATATTGAAAATTTGTAGTCTTAAGATCTAAGTAATATGGTCCAAGCAATGTATAGCATATCCCATAACATAAAACATCATTTTTTTATACGTTTTACATTGATTTAAATGTCAATTTCATTTAGAAATTTGATGTTAACATTTTATAGAAAAATTTTCATAAACCTATTTGTATATTCGTTTTCGATATTGTAAAGAATACTTGTAATTTTAAAAGTGTTTATAGTTCTCCAAAATTACTTTTGAATATGAACTGTAATTAATTACTTGCATTAAATTATAGATACATGTTTTGCACTTTATTATCATTGTTTATATTTGGAAAACATCCTTGTGTGGTGAGTACTATAGATAAACTATATTTAACGACTCATTCCGGTTAGCAACATTATTACAAGAACTAATAGTATATATTTCTATACTATATTATCAGTTCTCGGCGGAGAATGTCAGTGAGGTAGAATATTCTTAGGCGTAATTGTTTGATTGAACAGTTCTTGAACAGTTTTAATTAAAATAATGGTTCAAATTTTATTTCAGTATTCGAAAAAAATTATTTGAAAAAAAATTAGAGTAGTGCAGATTAAAATTAGTCCAAACTACAGCTGTCATCTAATTTACCGAAAGATTATTTGTAAAGTCCATTTATTGAACCAAAAATATCGTTAAATCCAATGATTATATTAAGCAAGAAATATAGCCTTTAGTGGTAAAGCATTTTTGTACACCCAATTTTGTATTTTGGAGAGGGCAAAGGACCTAGCAGTCCGGTTCTTTATACTTAGTTAACTTTAAAATTAATTTTAATTTTAACTAATAAGTAATAAGTAAAAAAAGTTGATTTGATGCTATCTTTTGTTTTTTTTTTTTGATTGCTTTCTCTGATGGGAAGCATAAAATCAGGATTTCAATATATCGTGGATTACGTTCTATAACCTATTGTTCAAAGCCTTGCGTATTCAACAGTATTTCTGTGGAATATTTGTGCTGTTCAAAGGTATTAAGATATTTCGTTTTCTTTTATTGTGGAAAATTCAAAAAGTCTATTCTATGACTATATTCTATATAATAAATATTGCATCCAAATAGTCAGTGACAGAATTTTATCGTTTCGTTATATGGAACGGCTGATGTATACAGGTACAGCTTCTCGTAATATTTTGTTTTTCACTACATTCTAAAATTTATTGAATTACTGAATTGATTTAAATGTCACTTTCATATAGAATTTTGATAACATTTTATTAAAAATTTTTTTTATATACCATATATTTGCATTTGATTCTGTAAAGTTTACTAAAAATTTTAAAAGTGCTTGCATTTTTACAAATTTGAAATGGATATTTAGTAAACGGATATTTGACTGGTAAGTCCTATAGATAAATTATATTTTAGTTCTGACTAAAGTAAGGCTAGAAGTTCCCATTCTCTCTGTAGACGTTTTAACAAAATTGTTGTAAGGACTTTTGGTATATTATATTAAATATCATATCATATGCAAACGATTCACATATATATCGAAAAGGATTTTCAAAGCATTGTTTATACGAGTATTACTATATCTATTATCTATATTTCTTTGATTTCTAAATTTGCAAAATATTTCTATTCTTTCTTCTAAATAAAAAGCAATGAAAAAGTTTAATAATGGTTCCAAAATTCTATATAATTTTTCAAAATTTATCAAAAAAATTGTTAGGGTAGCCTGCAGGTTAGAATAGGTTAAAGCAATATATATCTTTTTGAAAAAGAAAATGTGTCCTATACATATTCATTACTGAAATTCTTAATTTGGTAGTAATTTTTGAGTGTAAAATACATAGCATTTTATTATCATTGCGAACATTTAGAATATATTCCTGTTTGGTAAGCCCCATAGATAATTATTGTATAATTATCGTATATTTAATAACATTATAATATTTTAAATTAAAACTTATTTATTTATTTATTTCGCTATAATTTTTTCAGAGCCTTCTGATTATTTGATTGTTCCTTAATAGTTCCTGTTTACAGAATGGTGTCAAAAT